CCTGCTGTTATAGCACACAGCCTGCTCAGGAGAACACACACAAATGCAAGAAAGAAATGAACACACACACACACACACACACACACACACACACTCACACAAAGAAACAATGATATCAGTTTCAAAGCGGCAACATTCTCCAGAACATGAGCGGGGGCCGAAAGAGAATGTGACATTTCCAAGGTGTGTGCTGTCGCATGGCAACCATGGCAACTAAACCAAAAGGCTGTTAATTTGACTGAGTCAGTCCACCTCTCACTGTTGCATAGCTCCTCCCCTTTCGAGCAGGCTCAACCAACAGGGGAAGAAATTATTTTTAACCAACTAAAGAAGCACCTGTTCCCGGTTGGACATTACAGGAATGTTAGTGAGTGTGTGTGTGTGTGTGTGTGTGTGTGTGTGCATGTGTCTGTGTGTGTACATTCATGTGTTTCATGTGTTTGTTACGTGAAGCATTACATGTATTTAAATGTGGACAAATGGTCTAAATACCTCACGCTGATCTCTGGAGTGTTAGTTCAAAACTCTGAACAAGGAACCTGTAAATATATTTCACAAGTTTCCTGTTCCTTAATGTAATGTACTTTTCATCCAATATGGGAAAGCACCGCACCTGACTATGAGTATGGGAAATGTGCCAACTTCTAAACTATAACTGATGTTTGCCGATTCACAATGATAAGACCAGCAGTGACTTTTTCAACGATAGCTATCTCATTGTTATTGATTACTATATTGTTGTCGTTGTCAAATCTTTATGTCTCCATCTATGTAAGTGTTTGTACATTGTGTGTGTGTGTGTGTGTGTGTGTGTGAGCACGCGCGTTTGTGTGTGCGCGTGTGTTCAAAACAGTGGGTCTTTCAAGGTGAAGGAGAGAGCATGCAGAAACATAAAAAGGCAGCCAAATGGACTCTGAAGCAAACACATACAAACATGAGAGAATTATGACTGCAGGAGTTTACATAGCAGTGCCCTGTTTAAAAATACAGCAGTGTTGCAGAAATGGAAGCAGAGCTCACATCACACTACAATCCACACAGCTTGCACCTGTTTCTATCCACAGAGAAAAAGGAGAGATTGTATTATACCCCTCTGCTATATCAGACTATATTACCTTCAACAACTACTTCAACGTCTAATCTTCAACAAGAGTAACATTGTTCAATCTCCTCTTTTGGCAACGGTCCACCGGTGGAGGGAGGAAAGCAAAAAAATCTAATTAAGCCTATGTCTGGATCCAGGATGTCTTAGCTCATCTCCTGAGCTGCTGCCATTGTTAAGTCACCTTGATTACCCCAACAGACTCAATCAAGAATCAATAAAAGTGTCTTGTTACAGTTCTGAAAAGTCTTCACAGTATAGGCTACTACCTTTCTGAAGCTCAGGGCATATCTTCAGTACAGCTTACTGTGGCTTCAAAAAAAAACCCTCAGGGTGAAACTAGAAGCATCCTTAAGTCTTGAGTCATCAGCTGAAAGGATTGCCAGAAACAAACGGCAAAGAACAGCACGACTAAACAGATCTGACATTGCCTTTCTGCTGCCGTCAAAACTAAACTTTGCCTTTCTGACCTTAAAACATGGCTGAAATCCACTGCTGGATCACACTCTGACAGAAGAACTCCTCACTGGATGGAAAAGACAAACCTCACCATTAACAGCACAGTCCTTCTATCACCTTTCCTGCCTCTGTCTCAATGTCTCCCACACATGCCTACATAGTCACTGCCTTTTAAGTTACATGTAAGTCTCTACTATGAAGTCCTGCGTGGAGCCCCAGGTTACGACCAACAAGTCCCAAGTCAAGTGCCAAGTGCTAAAGTTCATTATTTGAGTCCTAAACATTGAATCATCTCATCATTAGGAATTCAGTACAGAGGCAACATAGGCTAATTTTACTGCTGTTAGACATCACTGTTTTCTGATTTATTTGTTTAGTGATCTCATGCAAAGTTAACTAATTATTGCCAGCTCTTATTTGGTTGTGGAACATCTTGGTTTTCATTTCAGCGCCCATGTTAACGGGTTAGAGCGGACACACTGCCTGCATGACACGCACGTGAGACCAGTGGTTTAATCTTTAACATTGTGTTGTATTTTAAAAATCTTGTTATATCATCCATTGGGTAAAATCTTCATCTTAAAAGTAACTAGTAACTAAAGCTGTCAAACAAATGTAGTGGAGTAGAAAGTACAATATTTCCCTCTGAAAAGTAGTGAGGTACTGGCATAACATGGAAATTCTCAAGTAAAAGTACCTCAAAATACTTGGTGCACTTAGTTAATGGGCAAGATGCCTAATCCAGACCCAACATCTTTGGCAGAGATGGCCTCATCTGACTCTGAGCCAGCGCCGACAACATACACAAAAGCCAAAATATATGACTTTCACATAGAATGGTTTGTCCAGTTTCAATGACTCAGATATGATAAAACGTCTGGAGCCCTGGGTATCATCTCCTGTCTATCTCCTGATGTGCACCGCCAAAAACACCTTTCCTGATCATGCAATGTAATTGGCTTCGTTGGGACTGATTCAAAGAATATCTGTTGTCAGGAAAACAATGAGTTGATTTGCTGCATGCTTTTTTAGAACATAATTTTTAATCATTGAGCTTCGGGAGGATTTCAAGTCATTTGGAGTCAAAGGGTGAACATCCCACTGAAGTCACAAGTCATTGATATCAAAGAGCTGCATGTCTTTTTTGATTTTGTCAAGTCCAGTCTAAAGTAATCGAATTCATGACTTGAATGATAATGAATAAAAAGTGGTTTTCTGTATCAAGGAGAAAAACCCTTTTTTCTTTTGTGGCATTAAACAAGTCCTAGTGCAAGGCCTCCAGGAAATAGTAAAACTGAAAATAGAGTAAATAGTAAAAACTCTGTGACAATGTGTGTTTGAAAGTATGCACAGTGGGCACACTGAGTACAGTTCTGCTGTGCTTCTGAAGAATCTGAGGAATGCTTTTACTCTGCAGGCCATCAGGCTGGGTCTCTGACAAACACACACATAACAACTGGACAGAGCATCATATCTTGTTTAAATTGGTCTGTTGAACAGATGTGTGGTACCGCGGTGAATAAATGTGAGCGAAAACATGACACATATTCATAAACATATATAGACTTCTGAGTTGACTGTGGCACAGAGGAATATGGTGGATGCCTTTCTTTATGCCCTAATAGAGTTTTGTCTGGGTTGTTCTTGGTATCAATCTCAGAGAGACAGAACAGACACCCACACACGTAAACACACACACACACACACACACACACACACGGATAAAAGCCTCATCATTCAAAGTCCTTGCCTTATGACAGAAGCGCAGGCAATAATGATGAATTGATGGCAAAACAGCCGCTCCCAACACTCTTAGTTGAGAATCACACTCAGTGCTTGTCATCTCTGACCTCAGACACACTTTTCCACATACACAGGCCAGACATCAAAAGTGGTCCTTGGGATTGTTTTTCTATCTGTCTGTCTCTTTCTCTCTTTCCAAAAACCTTTACTCATTGATTGTTTAGTAGAAGTCTATATATGCCCTGAAGGCATTCCCTCTTTTTTCCACAAATAGTGTATTAATTCATAGTAGGTTGCCAACATAATAGGCTCCTTTCTCTGTTACCAAAACGTAAAAGCAGTACACTCATAAATGGCCGTGTGTATGTGCATGTTTGTGTAGAGAGGTGTGTGTGTGTGTGTGGAGAGGTAAAGTCTCAGTCAGCACTCCTGTCTGTGCTCTTGTATGGCTCCGGTAAAATACTCTCATCTAGGCAAACATAAAATCAATGGTGGCTATTAATTAGTCTACCTCTGATTGCCGGTGCTGATACAGTTATACGCACAAATAGAACAGGAACACATTAGGTCCGTCGAGCTGTTTGGAGTTGGATTGGTTTTTAAAGAATAGAGGCGCTATAGGCAGACTCGCACTCAAGCTGTAAATGTAAAAAAACCGAGCAAACAACTACTTGACCAAACTGAAATAGCCTCTGCAAATTATTTGCACATTTTCAATGTTAAACAGAGAGGAAGTGCTTGATAGTCTGATAATGTCCAATATCTTGAATTACACAACCTTTTTCCTGGTTATTATGAAAGCCATAAATGGAGCACAGAAAAAAAACACAATGCACTATGGAATATTCTCACAGGTGTCAAGTTAAGCACTGCAGGTGCAGCAGTTCAGATTTCTCTTTTTTGCAGCACTGCTCTTTCAGTGGCTTAATTCAGAATGGAGAGAAAGGACCTTGCTTCCTGCTGTTCTACTAAGATTATGAATGGAAGAAGGGTCAGTGTGATAAAGCACAAATTTCGAAATGGAAACCGCTAAGAGGCAAGCTAACTGTAAGCCACTCGTACTGTCACACTCGAATATGTCTTGCTAAAATCAAAGACGTGATAATCCTGAAAGCAGTCTGTAAAGCATCACAATGTTTGAAATGCCAAATAAAAATGTTTGTCTTTGATCCTGCATGGGCCTCTATGTTCCATTCACATCACAAATATCACATCATATCACACAGTTTTCCAATTGCAATTTTTCTAATAATTCCAGGTGTATCATGATAATTACAGTCAGAATGTCTAACCACCACAGAATCCTATTGGTGTTGCCATGGTAATGAGTACTGGATCGTGCAATGACTGAGTTAATGATGAAGTTAGATGGTTTCAAGCAACTGTCTGCGAAACATGTAGACAAACATCAGCTTTCCTGAAGCACAGTAACTTTCCATGGCAACACAATGCAAATACTGTAGAAAAGTTTTCTGACAGTTGACCGGCATTGTGAGGCAAGATTATGTTGTATACAGTTTATAAACACAGAGGCCCATTCTATTTTTTTTTTTTTCATTCAGGCCTGCAGATGCACAACTATTGTTGAATTTAAGAAGTTAGGGCAGCTAAAAGGATTTCAAGTGACCTCTAGAAGTGCTTCAGAGTTCGGCCAGACCAAAACACTTGAGTTGGCGTTGTTGGTGTGGTGTCTTACCTTGTTTTGGTCGGTCCAATACAGGAAGTAACCTTTGGGGTCGACTGTTAGAGTCACCGGAGTCACAGTGGTAGAATCCTGTAGGAAAACAAAGAAAAAGACATGTGGAGTCAATGTGTGCCTGATTACATCTGCGTATCCCTGTCTGTGTTTTTATGTGAGTGCATACTTTCGTGTGTAAGGCAGAATATTCTCTGGGTAAACCAATTAATTAATTTCTCATGATCAAAGCGTAGTTCTGTAATACTGCCTGCATACCACAATCTACAATGGCATTAAAAGTGCTGTTTATGTTGTAAGCATGCACACAATCCTTTCCTTCTACGGTTCTTTCCCCACCATGACCTGGCATCACCACAAATGACCAAGTAGCCTGGTGTGTGAGTGTGTGTGTGTGTGTGTGTGTGTGTGTGTGTGTGTGTGTGTGTATTTGAGATGACTGCAAACATGAATTGCTGGTTGTTTCACAGCTGATGTTTTCATCTCTCCCCTCTTGTAACACACAAATGCTTTCCCACAGTTCCCACATACAGACGGCTGAAAAACCTCACACATACAAACACACACACAGTTTGACCCTCAGGCATACATGGCAATGCCAGATATTATTGGATGCTTCTATAAAAAGAAAGAGCCTTTGCTTTTCTTTTTTTTTGTTTTTCTGTGTCCACAGTGGCCGTGGTTCAGCTGAACAGTAGCATATTGTTCTCCTCAATCAGCCATGGCTGTAGGATCAGAGTGATGGAAACAACATTTGCTGTACAGAGCAAAAAAAAAAATCTTCAAAGTGTCTTCACGAGGCTTCTAATGATGCCCCTATCAAAGCATTGGGAGATAGAGCTAATGGTCTGCATCTGCTACATGCCTGTCATATTTGGGTGTGAACCTATGCGACTTGCAGTGTAGGATATCATGAAAGGGTTGAGGTGGGAGCTGGTAGACAGCGGAGGAGTCAGTGCTGAGGTGTAGAGAGCTATTAGTAATCTGAAATCATTTCATACTGTCTAAATAAGACAATCACAGTTTATGGACCCTGGCACACCTGCTCCATGACAGAGCAATAGTGAAATCCAGCCCATAATGAAACCATGGAGAAATTGAAAAGGAAGAGGGAAAAAGAAAAGCTGGAGAAAAAAGGGAACTGAGTAGAAAGTAAATGAAACAACTCATTCAGTGCGGGAAATGGTAAGCTGCCGCATCTGAGGCATTTGCTATAGTGACGTTTGCTATGGCAACTCACCATTCCCGTGAAATCTATTAGAGACTCGAGAGGAATCGTTTTGGCTCTGCTCACATGACTGCACAATCTTTGCAGGCTTGAATGAATGACAAAAGACGCAGCTCATACCACTGAACGCATGCAGCATACGCGTGCACAGTACTTATAGCCTGAGGGCAGGAAAAAAGCCTAATGTTCGCAGTTCTTAGATACAACATCTCAGAACAACTGTAGCTCCGTATCTCTAATCTCTACTCAACTAATCCACGGCCAATTTCTTCAGTTTAATTTATACAGATAAATATCCCTTTCCCATCCTCCATGACTATAGCAGTTACTCCAAAATAAACTTTATAAAATGATAATGAGTTGGATGAATAATTCTACAGCACATTGTTTATAATTGCAATAAGCCGAGTCAAGAACGCACTCAGTGGGCAAGTTGTGGTGAGTGATGGATTATCGGTAGTGTCAGAGAGAACGGAAGAAGATGGCTTGAGAGCAGTGGGAATCTGCTTAATGATGTGAGATCAGTTATTTTCACAGATTCTTTCTTAATGTCTTAACTCTCCACGGCCACCACTACAAACACATTATGCCATTATGGACTGAAAGATTCCCTCATGGGTCTGCTCATTTACGGAAAACATAACGACCTATAACATTGTGGATTAGATTTGAGAGTGATTTGCTGAGCTTACTAACTCTGGAGTGGTACTGCTCGTGCTTTTTATTGCTGTTGGACTACTCGGAGGATTTGTCATTAATGGGAAGACATGAGGAGGTTTGTGGCCTGCTCTTTGCTGAATTAAGATGAAATTAGAGGCTGACTTGCAAAAGTGCAAAACACCCCGAGGGAACCGATCCTGGGCAGGAGATCCTGCCATTATCTTCAGGGGATGGTCTGTACCATTAGCTGCCACCTGAGGGGGACGTGTTAGAGAGGAGCTTTGAACGCAACATATTTTTGTTCTGTAAGCTAATGACACATCTTATGACTTTTAGGGGATTTTAGGCTGCCTGTGGCACTTGATAATATCTTATTCAATACACACCAGACCAAAAAGGCCTGATACATGCGTAAGCTTACAAAAACCTCTGTTTACACAGACCTAGCATAATCTTTCACATATTTCACATCTTGCCTGTCTCTGTCAGTGTTCTTTACAATGAAGGGTCTATGGATTTGGATATCTACCAGTCCTCAACTCTCTCTCTTAACAGAAAGCAGCCATTGGTGCTGATATAACATTTGCACTGACTGACTGACAAATATTAACACAATCAAGGAAATCTTTTAAACCACAACCAGGTATCTCATGAGCTACAGCAGCAGCCAGTAGTCTGCAAGTGGCAGCAACAAAAGTACAAGGTGTGTATGTGCACGTTTGTGTGAGGTGGGTTGAGGAGGTCTGGGACTTTGAGCCTTTCACAAACATTTCAAGAGGTTTTCTGATTGCTTTTTTATTCTTTTTCAAAAGCCAACCACCAAACACTGTGTGCTGAAGTCTGCAGCGCTTCTCGTTACCATTTCAGACACTCTGTTCCAGAAAACTCACGGCTGTTGTTCATGCAGCACAGAATGCCATCCTTACACAGTACACAAAATGTTATACCATTTTTGTCTCCACTGAATGTTCAGCAGTGTGACAAAATTTTCACTGAAGCTAATAAGGAAGTAAAGCGAAAAATTCAAACTCATATACATTCAAAAATTGGAGGCGCTTGTGCAAATTCTTGTTGAGAAATTCAAGTGGAGCCCAACGTTCAAAGCAATGACAAGAAAATTATTCAAGTCAATCCTTTTTTTTACTGACAATTACGGCTCTTTTTTTCTCTCAGTCTGTATTTGTATTCTTTTGTGATTCTTTCCATGAAATGACACAGAGACGAGAGAGGAAGGAAGGAGGGTGTGGGAAATTAAACGGAGAAAGTATCTGTGCGTACGTCTGTGTTTGAGGGTGTGTGCTTTCGCAGGAAAGGCCTGGTGGGCAGTTGGTTCTGGAGATATGACCCTCATGTACAAACTGCAGTACACAAACACGGCTGTTAGGGGAAACAGACACACACCACGCACACCCCTTCTCACAACATGCCAACCACAGAGCTGGTGGGGGGTGGGGGGTGGGGGCACTCATTAGTAATTACAAGTTCAGGAAATAGTCAAGTTGTCTTATTTGAGTTTAAGATTGATGATTGACAGAGTGGTAAGTTTGCAAGTGAGCTACCCCCCCCCCCCCAGCCATCTGTACTGACCACATTCACACTCCTCTAACACTGCTCCACTAACACCATCTGTGCTGTGGTGAATCACCTGAGCTCAGTGAATATGAATATTTCACTTACGCGTTTTGTTTGGATGAAATCATAAAATTACATTTCAAAATGTCACTTATATAAAACTAGTATAACAGCACAGTTTATTATCAAAACCTGACTTCCTATGGTGCTCGACGTGTATGATTTACATGTGATCTTTAATGACCATCTGATTCTCCTTTCACACAAGACAACAGCAGTATACAGTACTTCACTCAGCAGTTACAGGTGGGCACATCTCTGCATTTTCAGTGCAGGGAAAGTATTTCCAAGAATGAAAGTAATCATGACTGTGCTCATATTCAAATGCTCATGCAATAAACATGCATCAAGGTTGGAGAAACCAGAGGAATGCAAGCAGTTATTCAAATGAGATGGTCTGTGATAGGTGTTTCACACCTATCACAGAAAGTCCCTTTCAGAATACAGAGAGTTATTATACTGACAGCAAATGAGATGAAGTGAACCATTAAATATTACAAGGTCATTCCATTCAAATGGGATTTTATGGGCAACATCTCTATTGATTTATTACAAGGATGTGTTGATTTGTTGTTTGGAGAAGGTGCAGTGCAGCCATGTCTGTCTGTTTAAAGGCTACTACTATTATGTTTTCGCCAGATACGCAACAGCAGTGTGCAATTTTAATCAAGGTCATTTCACTACAGCTAGACAGCCAGTAGTATGAAAGAATGATAACAAAAAAAAAGAGAGAAAGAGAAAAGGAAAAAAAGACAATCGTTATTCAAGTCTTGCCTGGTGGTTACACTGCCAGCCACAGGTTCAGCCCCGATACACTAATTAATTGTGGTTAAGTGATAAAACGTTTCCAGTGGAGGAGGAGGGGCGAGCTCAGTTCAAATGTTTAATTTTGATTTAATGAGCGGCGCACGCATTCACACACTGTCATACACGCGCGCACTCACTCAGACGCGCGCACATACACCGACTGTGAATTTGGAAATGTAAACAACTCACATGTCACTATAGCTGTGGTTGCATTTCTTTAACGTTAACCAGCCAAGCCAAAGACGAGGCAGCCGCTGTCAGTCAACGCGATCTCCGCTGACAATTAAATCAATCGGCTACTGTTGCATGAGTAGCCGATAGATTTTGTAACACATCTCAGAGGCGGCACATGCATTCAAATAAAGCGTGCAGAAATAAAAAAAGAGAATTCATTGCCGGTCTCTCTCGTCATTACTTACATCATCCCATTTCATAAATTTGTTGCCCTTTCTTAGGCTCTCGGGCACGGACACTGGCTTGAGCTGCAGCGCATGAACTCCAGGCTGTGCCCCTGCCATTGACTCTTCTACTCTTCTCGACGCACGGCAGGGGTAGAATTGAGTCACTTCTCTCCTTTCTACTCTTCTTTATCTTCCTCTCCTTTCGTAATCTGCTTAAAAGCGGGCTGACGGAAGCCCACTACTGCTGCCAGTATGTCATGCCCGCAGTGACGGCGGCGGTGGCGCGTCTCGTCTTTGGAGAGCTGTGGAGGCGGACGCAGGCGCAGCGGACCGGGGCCACTGATTGACTGACTGAGCGACATGCAGCTAAAGCGAAGACGAGGGGGGAGAGAGAGAGAGAGAGAGAGAGAGAGAGAGAGAGAGAGAGAGAGAGAGGGAGAGAGAGAGAGAGAGAGGGATGGGGAATCTGAATGAGTTGCACGTCTGGTTTCATATTGAACAAGTCAATGCAGGGACAGGGATCGAAGCTCGAAGTGATCTAGCGCCTCCGTGCGTCCTAGGCAATATGTTGGGCATAAATGGCCCCAGGATTTGAGCTGATGAGACGACGGGGATGTGTAGTGATGACATACTCAAAGCAGGTGTGTGCAACAGTTTTCTTTGGTTTATGCGGTCTTCTCTGAAATCATTAAGCACGTAATGCTGTATGTTCTTGCTTTGATAGAATTTGAGTTCGGGAGTCCCTATTAAAAACCTTGTAACTCTCACATGTAAGTTGCTGTGATATGAAGAGTAGGTTTAGTCTACTATAGGAATTGGCCTATCTCAACATCATCATCAATCTTTTTGGTGCAGGTGTCAGACCTCCAGCCTTTCCTTATGCTGTGTGTTGTCGGATAATGGACAGAAACGGTGTGAGTTGAAGACAGCTCACAGTCAAGCAGCACTCAGGGCCATAGCTACCATTGGGGAGACCAAGGTCATGTCCAAAATTATATCTGGGACCTGAGGAGGAGTTTATATTCACAGTTAGACACAAATTCCACAACCCAATTTGTTCTTGTTTTTTTCCTGAGCAATAGCCATTACATTCTGTAATTAACAGTTAGAAGTGTCCTCCATTCCCAAACTGGATTCAAATTGCCAACCTACACATGAGGGATTCACAGGAAAGGATGCAAGAATGTAACCCAGCGTTAAAATTTATAATTTCATGAATCAATTGTTGATTCTGACATTTTTTGGGCAGCATCTTTAAAGTTGACTGTTCTCAGTCAAAGATTAACAAATAAATAAGCAGATCAAAATAAAAAAAAAAGGAAATTCAGTGAGAAACCTGGGTCTCCACACCAGAAGTTGGACCAGTCTCAGCCTGGTCAGATGCGTACATGAACTGATGAAGCCTCTTGGATGAGAGGCGAAACGTCTTCCCAGACAAATAATCAAGTCCAGTTGTTTCTATTTAAACTCCTTTAGGATACTATGACCTGGACAAATGAGAATATGCACAGGCTCAGTGAGAAAACACACACAGAAAACTTGCATGGAATGGTGCCTTTACATTCTTCCCAAGGAAGCACCTAGCTTAGCCCAACAGGGCGTGGGGACCGATGATAACTTCCCCTCTAGATGGGAGGACTCAGAGCCTAGAGATGGATACAGCGTGGACGTCTGGCTTTTGCTATATAATCAGCAGCAGCGAGCGTTTTCAGGTAAGTGGTGTGGCAGCAGCAGGCATGCAGAGCAGAATGAGAAGAGCGCTGACAGCTTAGATACATTCTCAAAATCAAACGGGTGCATTAGGTGTTGCAGTGAGAAGAGCGTGTGGGTGTACCAGTGGAGTCGACAGGATTACAATAAACTAAAAGGATTTAATATTTTTCCACCAGAACTGTAGTCTTGGGTTGGCATTTTTAAGAAGGCTTTGAAATATTATTCAGGCTAGCGAGATGAAATTCACATACAATATAATGGGAGAGTTGAATGGTTAAATAAAATCTGGTCAGGCTTTCTTATGGATGTGAGGAAATGGAAATTTGTACGCATGCATCCTGGCTTTGGCATCAGGTTAATGTAATCTGTTCTCAACCAATGGCAATGATCTATTACTGTTCATTCATACCTGTATGGAAGGTGACAAGGTGCTTTCTTTAATTTAAGAAATCAGTGTACATCCATCAGCTGGAATGGACACTGATTTTTGTTTCAGCGCCTATACACAGCTGCTGGCCTTTTCACTTCTTCATGACTAAACTTCTTCAAAGTTCTATGAGTCAAGAGTGTGTCACTGCCTTAAGGACTTTTCTTTAGTTTAACTTTCTCATTAAATAAAACATAGAACCCCCCTGGGCTTTGTACCACCCACACTGTTTATTTTCTACCATTTCCAAAAAGGGACTACAGACCATTTGAGTCCTCCGAGCAGTTTTCCCCTCTGTGTGCCTCTGTGGTCAGTCACTGGCCGAGGCTGATGGTCAGACATGTCAAACTTGTCTAACCTGTCAAATTCTGACCAGCACTTTTTATGTCAGCTGTAATAGGAGTTTGTTTGAGTTTGCCTCCTGTCATTAATGATTGATTAACAGTGACAGTTTGGGGACCAGGCCCCGAATAGCGTCATAGTGACTAGTGTGAGAGAGTGATTCAAGTGTGTGTGAGAGAGAGAGAAACAGAGAGTGAGAGGTAAGAAACAAAGCATGAGACAAAAAAAATCATATTTTAAGACAATATTTTCTCATAAGTAACAGTTCCAAAGACGCTCTTATTTCAGCAAGAACAACAAATGTACAGGATACTGTCATACCAATGAGCACACAAATGTTTTTATATCGCAAATGAGTCATTGTTATCCTCCATGCCTCAGACTTTGGTATCCGTCATCTGTCTTCCTATCAGCCCTGAGGTTTAAGCTAACTCTAAAATCAGACACAGCACTCTTGTGTGAAAGACAAAGGCCAAGAGTAAGGAGAAATAATTGGATTGTCGGTATATTAAAGCAATTAAGACCACAAATTTCCTATTATCTTTATTCTAAGAAACACTGAGCTTTTAAAATTAAGTCATCCAATTTGTTAACAGTGTTGTTCTTTTTCCTTTTTGTAATAATAATGTGGATGTTGCTATAAGAAACACAATCAGTGATGTATCAGAGAGATGATAAATCAAGAAGGCATTCATTAAATACGCAGAGTGTCAGGAGACCCAGAACTGCGCACACATCATAATTTCTGTTTCACAATGTTCTTGGAAAAGTGACAGCAGCGGGCCAAGCTGGTGGAGGGGATCAGTCTCATCTTTCAGAACTGCTGCTTGTCCCCTGGTAGCGGTCGTAGAGATTCATTTCATTTCAAAAAGAGCAGCTTCTTCTCAAACTGACCTTCTCCAGTGCAGGGCTGGATTAACCTGCTGGGGGCGTCAGGGCAGCAGTGAGCTGTGGGCCTCTGTTTAGCCTCCCTAGACATGTTCCTTCACTGTATAGTCGGATAAAACGACAAGATTACACAGAAATGTGAGGGAATATGCACCATGTAAGTACTGTGTCAATTAAAATGTGAAAGATATTTACTCTAGATTGTGATGTAGGGCTGCTATTATGAAAGAGCCTCAGGATTTAGCAAAAATGCAGGAGCTACTTTACCACTCTAATTAATTTGTGCTTTAACAGGCAAACAACTGTAAATAATCAAACTACCAAAAAGTAACTGCCACACAGACGACCTGAAGTTTACAGAACCTGTGCCCCCAGTGCCCGGGGCTGTTGCCTACTCCCATTTGGTAATTCAGCCCTGTGTGTGGAGTGTAACATCTTCCCAGCTTCCTCAAGATGGTTTAGATCTTCAAAACGATTTATTGATCGGACAAGGACTCTCTGACCTCCATTTGTCTAAGAGTAAAGGAAGTTTGTGTTCTTAAATACTGTCTCTCGTACATTCATTTTATGTAGCCACAAATGACACAAGTCAGACAATAGCACATCTCTGAGTTAATGTCTACATTTGAGGAGAGAATGTGGCACAAGCTTAGAGTGTGATCCTCATGTTCAAGATTAATAATGTTCATGGTCAATAATCCATTTTCATGTGGGGCAACCACACTGGTCGGCTGACAACATGCTGATGAAGGACCAGCAACCTTTTCATATTCAAGAGAAGACCCATGCTCTGTAGCATTCAAGATGTGTTTAAGGTCAATGGTGTTGTCATCTGCACACTGAATATCCAGCGTGCTTGACCCTCAAGAGAGGCTGAACCCTGCAGTACTCCTCATCAGGCCCTTTACACTGGTATTGGTGTGGTGGTGAGATGGTTGATTTGCCTCCTACACGGTCACAAGAGAGAATGAACAGTGGCAGTGTTTCTGCGTGGCCGAGATGAGGAACAGGTGTTCTCAAATGACTGCCTGCCAGAGCTTTCACTGTCAATATTAACTCAAGATCTCCCCTAAGCAGCACATTCAGCATACCCTTAACTATGCTGAATGATGAGCCAAAGCCCAACACATCTGCATGCCCTTCTGCCCTTTCACCTTCAAGCATCAACTGTTTATTTTTGCTTGTATCATTTAGCTTTAGATGTCAAGGTTGGCCTGGTGTTTGAACAGTATCACCATGTACATGTAAAATGCCTTTTTGACTAGATGTCTGTTTATGAAATAACCTGAGCTGTCAAAGTTCAAACCAACTGACACTCCATTATTAGCATTAATAGCTCACAAGGGGCTGATTGGGTGTTTTGCCAGTGAGCTTACTGGGTCTGACAGGATGTAAAAAAAAACAAAAAACATTTCCGTTTCTGCTACAAATAAGTCTGAGACGGTTTTAATATTTGAATCATTGTTTTGAAATTGGTTATCTGGCATTTCAGATGTGTAGAGGCAAGAGTATTGGCAACAGAATGTGAATGTATAACCAAAGCTTCTGGAAATGGCAGAGGGTCTGTTTAAGTTGAAGCCTGCATTGTCCTCTCTATGAACCCAAACAGAATCATGCAGGACACAGGCAGTACATTAGCAGCATCTTCTGGATCTCTGTTGCCAGTGCACTTTGTGATTTTTCACACCAGCCTACTATACATATGATGTATCATCTGGATCAATTAGGCAGAACTTAGTGTTTACAATTAATTGTTATGGATTTTCCTCTCTGGCAAATATAGCACTTATACAATGTATTAAATTTTCTCTGATGGTGTATGTTAAATATACAGTATATTTGAAAAACAGCCTTAACGCATGGAGTATGAATAGGCCTTTGCAAGGACTTACCGAAACCTAAAACCTTAACCTAAATTATGAGATAGAATAAGTGAGATTGTATTTTCAAATTTA